CCCCAAAACCCCAAAACCCCAAAACCCCTTAAAACTGTTATTAACTGCAAATGTATTGGAGGGATAATTTATAAGTCATTAAATATATTAAATCATTAGAATAAATGCAAATTTTTTTAGAAGAAGAAGAGCTCAATCCTTTAATAAAAAATCTTAATTAATTAATGTGCTTGAGCATTGGAATAAGCGACTACTCTAAACTTGAAGGCTAAAATAATTTGATTTCAGCAAGTTTTGATTCAAGAAAAGTCGCTAATAAATTCAAGGAATAGGGATTTATGACTACACATTTGCTTGATCTATCTTCTTAGGATTTAGAAAAACATTTAATGGAATTTCAATAACTTTGCTATTCAGCCTCAAGGTAAAAACCTAAAGCTTTTTACGCTATAATCTATATTCAAGGTTTAACTCAGCTAGCTGAGAATGCAAAAAAAGAAAGCAATCACTATGATTATTCAGAAAACAGTTTAGATATTTTATTGTCAGATAATACTTGGATAAATCTGGTTGATACCTTTCAAGAAATGTTTAAGGATACTCCGAATATAAACTATTTATATTTTCAAGACGGTGTATCAGTTGATGATCATACTTATGGGAGAATCAGATAGAACTATAACAGCATAAGCAAAGTTACTTCTAATGTAGTTTATGCAATTTTTTCTGGGAAATTTTCAATCGGAAATTTTTTAGCTAATTAAAATCATGCTTGGGCTACTGATTATTTCCTTCTAAAGCATGAATAAATGCCAGTATTGCAGAAACACTAAGATCCTAAAAATTTTGATGCATTTGTGGTCATGAAAGAGATATAAGATTTATTACTTAAGCACCTGACTGTTGGCTAAAATCTTTATGGATTTGAGATTTAATTTAATCTGATTAAAAAATTCTTTACAGCAGTATAAAAACAATAAGAAGAGAAACAGTTAGTGAAAAGGATTACACTAATGGATTATATAGATATTAATGCAATTTCTAATCAATATTGCTAACTCTAGGATTTGATGTAGATTTGTAATTATACTGATCTGAGAATGATTGATTTACCAAATAATAATACAAAGTTTCAGCATCTAGTTTTAATTTATGGTACATAGTTAATACTTCTCTTTGACTTAGTGACAAGAAAGTAGTTCGACAAGTATGAAATTCAAGAGAAATATTTCGATCATACTGATTAAAAGAAATTCAAATTCATTAAAGTCATACCAGCTAACCAAAATGATTTGTTTGCTTTAACCAATAAAAACGAAGTATTTCATTTTATCAATTACAAACATGCAAAATTTACGAAACTTAATAGAATTCAGCTCTTCATCTAAAGTAAAGACTAGAAATTGAAAGCAACTGAGATTTGTGCCACTACTCATAAAGAATTTGTTGTAGGTCTATCTAATGGTACAATCTAATTCTATTCAGAAAAATCTCGTCAATACTAAGTGGGAGCTCATTACACATGCAGATAATTCTACTCGATCTTTACTAATGAATGCAAAATTTCAACAATAATTAGCAACTATACTTTGAAGCCTTAATCTAAGACTTAGTCGGAAGATGAAGAATAATTGGAGTTGACAATAGGAGGAGTTGGAATGTATTAAGAGGGTTTTTATTTACCTCCTTAAATTACTGAACATCACATGAAAAAAGAGTAGAGTCTGGTTAAATTAACATGCAATAGGCCACTATAAATCAAGAATAATAACAACCAGTATAAGATTAAAATGAATACTAGCTACATAGGAGATAGAAAAGATGTTCTTGAGGGATACGTATTACCTGATGGCTCTATAATGCTTTAAAGGTATTTTAAAGGTTAGAATTCACAGTGCATGCTAGCAAATAATAGCGTTTCTTATTAAGACCCAAATACCTTGGCAACAAAACTATCAGTTGGATTATGTCCATTCAAATGGAGTTTATAACCTCAAATTCCTCCTAGCATCATATACACTAGTCCTAATTAAATAAAGATGAGATTTGGGTCGAAATAGAAAATATTTACAATATTCTAAATGTACTATGAATAACAATTCAACTTTTCCTCAGGTATTATCTGGACATCAAACGACCAAATTTACGCTCTTAGTGAAAATTCTGAATCATCTATGATTGCTACATTTTCTATTGATAAAAAGGCTTTTGAAGATTTGCTATGAAATAATCATAATAAGGGCAAGCTAATCTTTATTTTAGAGAATAAATGTAAATTTATAGTTAAAAGTATTAAAACTCCTATTTTTATCTTGCGGGGTTTTGGGGTTTTGGGGTTTTGGGG